CGGCGCATCACACTACTCAACCCTCGTCTTTGCTGACGTTTATTACAGCGTTTCAACAATTGCATATTTTCAGGGTAACGTATTCACTATTTATAAAGTGAGTTGAAGTTACATTGTATAAACGTTTTGGCAGGTAATGAGATTGCTCTCAACTACATCATAACTCGTAGGAAGTGCGTTGATACTTGCATCGTCTATATATCTATTACTGTTGTTATACTGCCCTTTTTACCTTACCGTAAGATCTAACGTTAGAACAAAAAGTTGTATATTCTAAGATGCTTTCCTCAGACTAACTCAGATACAAACAAGACCCACTGTGCAAGGCGATTGCATGTCAATGCGAAGGATTCACGATTGTAGACTCTACTCAAGATTATCGCTCACAGCTTATGCTATAAGGTTTGCTAGCTGTTAGTGACTCTGTTGCATTTTTTTTCGGACAACATAGTAAGGGTTATTGTCTACACATCACAAGATTTGAAAATGACTTATTTACATTAATATTTTTACCATCCTTACACAATAGGAACGGTAGACAAATTTATTCTGGCAATTGCATTGATAAATCTCTACCCAAGTATTTAACAGTATAATAATAATGTAATGATTGATTTACAAATCTTTTAGGTACTTGATATATTCGATAATCTGTTATGTTTCAAGAACGGAACAGCGGAGGCGAATGTCTTATCGATTAATTGTTTCGTTTCATAAGAGATCTTTTAGCTCTATAATCATTGTCACAGACTCATGAAATATTTCTTGTTTCATAAGTTTTCTCATGTGTTTGACAACAGTTCCTGCATTTAAAACGCATCTTAGTTTGTTCAAATTGATGATCCATGTGATTTCCAAAATAGTGTTACATCCTGATTAGGAAAATGGGATTCGTAAATTTGTCCCGATATGGATATACAATTAACACATTCTCATTGGTCAACGTCAATTACAGATCACGTTACTGCACGATCTGATAGGGGTAGTTCTTTTAATATTGTGAATAAAAGTCCCTCGCGATAGTAGTTCTTTTAATATGATATCTTTTTGAGCAACCTCTGATCAGTTTCTTCGATAAGTATTACATTTATACCCTTTCGCATGTGAACACAGGACTACGTCTCCAAGTAAACTTGCAGGCAGTTCGCCATTTGACCAGTAGTTTGTCAAATTGACCCGCTGTCCGTGGTTACGTCCCCAGCAAGTTTACGTGTTCATAACTGGCTAATCAACTGGTGCAGGACTATGTCTCCAAGCAAACTGCAGGCAGTTCGTCATTTGACCCGCTGTCCGTGGCTACGTCCCCAGCAGATTTGCGCACCCTTTGAGAGCCAACCTTACATTTCCTTTTACTACTTCATCTTTCGGTAGCAGAACAAAATGAATAGCAAGACTTGCGTACTTATAAAATTTTTGATTTTCCAGCGATAGGGATGTACGACACCCACCATTTGAGATCGCCCGGTCCGAGATAAACAAATCCGAAATATGCAAATCCGAGATAAAGGCGACGATGAAGGTACGTTGAAGGACGATGATTTTTTTCTTATAAAAACGTATGGAAATATCATATTAATAGTAATATGTAATCCGTGTTTTTTATTAATATAACCAGATCTTTTGTTTAAATTAAAATAATTAATTCAGTTATATAAATTTATCGAAATGCACGGTGAATATACATGCGAATATATACACAACTCTGGAGAAGTCTGTGGACGCGGATGCCGACGTCGTGAAGGATGCCACGAACATTGGAGAGCAAAAAACCGTATTTTATGTAGGGTTTGTAGTAAGCCAACTTCTTCTGCACTCGGTACTTGTAAAAAACATGCTAAAGAATATTATGTTATGCAGTTTTATGCTCGACAGATGCAAAACATCCTTACTCCGTAAGACTTCAGATGCTCGAAGAGTGTCCATAGGGTCAGAAAATCGGCATAAGTTTAATTGATTGATATTGCTAGATGCGATAGCATCCTCACTTCGTGAGACCAAAAAATACACCTGTCGCGTACCTAAATTTTTAGCACTTATTATGGAATAATGACACTTCGTGTCTGTGCTTGCTCCGCTAATTATATTTTTTACTATACTCTTTATCAAAAGAATACTTTAAGAATGCTACTGCTTTGCAGTATTAAAAAGCTAATTGTTGACTAAATAGATAACTAATGCTCCGCTACGCTTCGCATTCGGAGTCGCTATGCTCCTCCGGGTCAGAAAGCTAAATAGTAATCAAAATAGTTAACAAAAAAAATACACCAAACATGAATAAATCATCATTAATTTGACGTCGCAATCGAGTTTTTATCATCAAATAGAGAGGATGTGCTCACAATAACAGAAAGCTAAATAGTGACCAAATAGGATATCAAAAAATACACCATTCATATTTCGCATTCCCCTAAAGGTTTATGCTCACAGTGATAGAATGCTAATTAGCAATCAAATAAGATAACTATGCTCCGCTACGCTCCGCAACTGCGTCGCTCACACCTAAGGTGTATGCTCCTTAGTGTTAGAAAGCTAATTGTGAACTAATCAGATAACCAATGCTCCACTACGCTTCGCATTCGGAGTCGCTATGCTCCTCCGGGTCAGAAAGCTAAATAGTAATCAAAATAGATATCAAAAAATACACTACAAGGTGTCATATATAAAAAAAAACACTGCATATAGATTTATATAAGTTTATCAGGAACATAGTAAAAAGACTTAAATCTATAGAAAAACGGAAGTGTTTTAAAAATTACACCAGTCGTGTACCTAAAAAGCCCACTATTATATTACTCAAGAGCCGAGCGTATTCCAAGACCAAAATTGATTGGCAATTGTTATTATTAATAAAACTGTCAGGAGACTTTTTCTACCCACTGTCTTCTAATTAATAATTTATACTGATACATTTAATTTTAATTAATATAACATAAATTGCCATCACATTTTATCACATAGATTGGGCTATTACTACGTAACCCTTTGAAAAATGGATAACATGTGTAAAATATTCCTTACTTGGCTCCTGTAGCATAGCATCTGTTAAAATTATTGAATTTGAAGCTGATGTCATTAATTTAACATCTGAAATATTGGTGTAACAGACATTTATCACAAAAAATGACTATCAAATTGTGCCCTACACATATCCCAATTGAACCCCTTCACTCATTTTTAAATGCTTCATCTCTTATAGAGAACCTTGCCCCTTACACTATTCCCTCTCTTCCAACCCTCCCTCAACTCTGATCTATCTTATTAATTCCACCTTCTCCTCCTCTCATCCCATATTCTCCTTCCTCTCATATTAGCCACCTCTCCTGGACTGAAATTCACCACTCTCATTATCCTCGCAAGACTCAAGACCTAATTGCACATCAAGCTCTTCCTATTAATATTAATATCATTAGAAGTTAATGAAGGGTACAATGGTATTGGTATATACCTGGGTATCTCACACCAATTGCACCTCCCTGTCTTCATTCTTAAAAAGTGCTGTCATTTGTACTTCATTGAACTGTAGGTTGTGCCAAAAAACAGCACAGTTCAAGCCAGCTATCACTTGACCTTCAGTTGGCCAATTCAGCTTTGTAGTGGCATCATCCTCACAATTAAAATAAATGACCCCAGATGTCTGCAAACTTAAACACCATCTGGCATAATCCAGAGCACATGCATAGTAATAGTGCTCCTTCAGATCCCCTGTAGTAGACAAAGTGATCTCAAGGAGTGTTGAATTTGGTGTAGTGATGAGCATGCTGGCTGGGGTGACCTGTCATGTTTCTTCTCAGTTTCTTTATAAAGAGGTTTTGTGATCATAGTTCTGTGTACTTGCTTTATAGACACAAGTTTGGCTTGAGATATGAAATTTCAACAAGCTAATACTATTTCTGTGGTACTATCCACAAAGTAGTACTGATAGTATTCTTTATATAACACCATTGACTTTGAACTCCTTTCCTTTTTTTTCATAGAGGCTCATGATTCTAGTCATACAAAACAAGCATGAGTATGAGAATGAAACGTCAAATTTCCAAGAGTGTAGGTTTATATTTTCTTTTTATTTTGAGTTCTAATAGTAAATCAAGATGAAAAAAGTAAGTTAGTGGTGATAAATTTAATTTGT